ATGCAGCTTGCAGGCCTCATAGAAAGTCTATTGGGGGCCCCATAGATTTGAGAATTATTAGGAGAATAGCTGGTTTGAGGAACCTGAAGGTGAGGAGGTGAGGAAGAGTAAGAATAGGACAAGTTGGAGGCAATAGGGTTGGCTGACCTGTTGATCAAGGACCCTACACCAGTAGGGCTGACAGATTGAGTCTGAAAACAGGACAGGTCTACAGAACAACTACTCCCCATATTCTCAAGGTCCCCATTCAAGCCCATGGAGTGGTGGTTCAGATCAGCGCCAGGGGAAGGCTGCATCATGGACTGCTGGTTGATAAGACTATCTATGCTAAACATTCTATGAGGTCCTTGCCCTGATCCAGCTGGGGTCTGGTAGTGATGAACCATGGCTGGGTGGTGGGAGGTGGTGGAGTGAATTTGGTGGTTGTAGCCAGATCCCACACTGGAGTAGAGGCTGTTCGGAAAGGAAGGTCTTCCAGCTGGAGTTGGAGTGAAGGCACTGCTGTTCTGCATGTATCCTGGATAGGTGGTAATATCTGTTCTCTTGAACCTCTTCCTCCTCCTAAGGAAGCTTCCATTATCAAACATGTCTTCTGCTGCAGGATCCAGAGTCCAGTAGTTCCCTTTGCCCGGGTGACCCGGTTCTCTGGGGATCTTCACAAAGCAGTCATTGAGGGTCAGGTTATGCCTGATAGAGTTCTCTGCCACTTTTTGGAGTTCTCTCTATAGAAGGGGAACCTTTCCATAATAAACTTGTAGATCCCTCCAAGAGTCAGCTTCCTCTCCGGAGAGTTGGCAATGGCCATGGCGATCAAGGCAATGTAGCTGTAGGGTGGTTTCCCTTTCTGCACTGGTCGTTTTCTTCTCCTTCCACCAGAAGCTTGGACATGTTCTTCAAGGTGGCCACCAGCACCGAATTCTTCCACTGGGCTGCAGTTGCCTTTAGGTTCACACTTGATGGAGACTCCATCCTTGAGCCTGGCAGACCCTGGGGAGTCCATGGACAGGTTCGGGGAGCTGCCCATAGGACTGGAGCCTTCAGTGGGTGATTGCTGCGACTCTACAGTCATGGTGCACATGCCTGGATAGTAGGAGAAGTTTGCCAAATTCATAAACAAAACCCTCTCAGATTCCCCTCTGCAAATGTCATCTGGGATCCTTCCAGACAGACCAGGTGCTGCTTCTACTCATTAGACCTGGCTTATATATCAGAGTTCAAAAAGTCCGGCGCCTCCCAACGTCCCAGCATATGTCAAAGCCCTTAATTACAATACCACCCTCCCCCTTCTAATGGTGGCCCTAGATAGCTCCACACATCGTCCACACAAACCACAGCAGCCATCAGGGAGCCTCCTGGAGGAGCAGAGTGTCTAAGGTGAGCCACTCTCTGCTGGGGAACTACAAGTCCCAGAGAGCCTGCAGAGTATGCTCATCTCACGTGGGGGTTACAAGGCTTGGATAGCTTTATCTTTAGATGTGAAACTGGGAATTTGGGGGGCAACTGACAAAGGGCATGCAACATGTCACAGCTGTATGATGTGTGATACCAAACATTTCTCACCTGGACTGAAGGTGTGCGGAGATCCGAGCAGACAGAAGTCAGGAGAGAACTGTCACCGGGGAGGATCGTCGTTACTAAGTGCCATCAATTGTCGGCAAAAGGGGCCACAGGGAGACTTTGTAACTGGGACATAGGATGATACAATGATTAACAACAATGTATCAATGTCAATCAAATCACCGGGACAGAGGCATAGAGATTGTCTACGGGCATAACGTGATATTAGATCATATAAAATGTCATTAAAACAATGGTCGTAATAATATAACTGCCGATGCATTCAGAAATCCTGCTTACCTAAAAAAGTATATATCCACAACATGTTATAATAAAATTAATTGTATATAAATAACACAGTATTATTTTAATATATTCCCTCTCTCTCTCTCTCTCTCAAATATAATGTAACAAACTATATATAATATAATAAATATATCATATTTAATGATTGATTAAATATATTATATAATATATATTTTATTATATTGATTTTAATATTATTAACAATAATATAAAATGTAATTTTCTCATTATAATATTAATATGTTATTATTATATTCCATTTAATTTTCTTATACTTTTGACATGTAATTATATTTTCGTTGATACGTAATTTGTTATTATAGTTACTATTATTATGATTATTAGTATTACAACAAATAAATATACAAATGTTATTACTGTATACATTAATAAGCAAGTAGGATTTTAGAACTGAAAACAATTGCCATTCCTCCCACTAATAATAAAGCCGATACATTCTGTGCTAACATATTATTTGTCTGTAAATGTAGATTTGTAGTGTTTGATCTTGCAAAGCTCCTTAGTTTTGTATCAAAGTCTTGTATTTGCATATATTCATATTAAAACTTTTCTTCCTGAAATGCAATACCTTGTTTATTAAACTAGCGAAAAAATATTACACCTTCTATGTATTGACCATATTTACTAGAGGAAAAACAATAAATCTATTCTGTACATATAAATCTATACAATCTCTACTATGTATACTATATCTATACTATACAATCCATGTACTATATTCTATATTGTGTATACAATAGATACTATCCATATATTATATCTATACAATCCATACTATCTATACAATCTCAGCTATGTTTACTGTTTATACACACTATGCATTCTGTATACTATATCTAAAACTATCTATGCAACCGATACTATGCTATCTATATACCGTATATGTGCAATCTGTACTATCTGTACAGTCTATACCATCTATACCATCTATACCATATTTATATAATTATTCTCTCTCTCTCTCTCTCTCTCTCTCTCTCTCTCTCTCTCTATACCATATTTATATAATCTATACTATATCTATACTATCTGTGTAATCTCTACTGTGTATAATATTTCTGCACTATGCACTCTATATACTATGTTTATACCATCTATACCATATTTATATTATATATATACACTATATCTATACCATATATGCCAGATTTATATAATTTTTATACTATATCTATACAATCTCAGCTATGTATACTATTTATACACTATGCATTCTATATACTATATCTAAAACTATCTACACAGTCTATACCATCTTTATATAACTAACTCTCTCTCTCTCTCTCTCTCTCTCTCTCTCTCTCTCTCTCTCTCTCTCTCTGTATATATATATATATATATATATATATACACACCACCTCTCTCTCTCTACCCCCTCATACCCCCCCCCTCTCTCTCTCTATACACCCCCCCCTCTCTCTCTACCCCCTCATATCCCCCCCCCTCTCTCTCTCTCTCTCTCTCTCTCTCTCTATATATATATATATATATATACACCCCCTCTCTCTACCCCCCCCTCATCATATCTCTCTCTCTCTCTCTCATAATCTATACTATCTATGCAATCTCTACTGTATATAATATGTTCACACTATGCACTCTATATACAATATCTATACCATATTTATATTATATATACACACTATATCTATACCATATTTTATATAATCTATACTATATCTATACAATCTATACTGTATCCACAGTCTTAAAGTGTGTCACATGCAGTGCAGGGTAACTGTCAGGTTCGCAGTGATTCGCACAGTATTCGCACACAATGGAAGGGGTTTGGTTATCAATGAAAGGGATCTGATGGATTATGGGCCAATCAGAGCTCCTGATAGGCGGATTACTGGCTTGCTATTTCCATTCAGCCTCTCGGCCGGGAATGTTAATTGATCTCTGGTAATGAGGGTGTTATTTATATCAGAGTAATTGCTCTCCTAATCGCTGGGATATTGTGCTGGGAAATAATGAAAGATTTTCCCCTGGAAGAGTTTGGAGAGTATTCCAGGTGGAATCCCCCCAATGCAAGAGGTATGATATTCCCACAGAAATAGAATATTTATTATTTAGGACTGGTCAGGACAGTTCTGGATATCTTGATCAATAAGATCATTTTACTGCCTTGAAATTCATTTCAAGAATCTTTCCATTCCAAGAAAAATCAAATTTTTTCCTATGTTTTTAGATTGTAAAAATAAGGACAGGTAACATATTAGATTGTAAGCTCTAATGAGCAAGGTCCTCTGTTTCCTCTTGTACCAAACATTTTATTGGAAATAATGTCTGCCTTCATTTTGTAAAGCGCTGTGCAAAAAAAAGAAAAAAGGTAAAAACTATATTTTAAAAAAACTCATGGCAGGTGTTTTTGATACATATTGCTTTAACCAATTGCACATCATCCAGTTAGGATGTAAATCTACTTCAATCCCTTCTAACTGTCTTTTAGCCGCTATAAACCTTATTAAGCCCCAGTGGTAGCCAATTTGTTGAGGTTCAGAAAAAGTGGCATCTAAAAGTACATAACTGTGGCTGGTAAGTCCACAGCATGAAGTGGAAGAAATGGGCCACAAACATGTTTTATGGAGGAATACATATAGGATTCCAAGATTTAAAGTGGTTGGAGAGGCTGAAGGTTTTTTACCTTCAAGCATTCTATGCATGAAAGTAGAAAATCTTCTGTGTGATGCCCCCCCCCCCCCCCAATACGCACCTGAGCCCAATCTCGATTCAGCGATGTGCATGGGAGCCTTGGCTGGCCTAGGTCTCTCTCTGTCACTCCTCATTGGCTGAGACACAGCAGCAGGAGCCATTGGCTCCCACTGCTGTCAGTCACTCAGTCACAGCCAGTGAGCCAATAAGTAAAAATAGCAGGGTATGGAGGCAAGCAGGGATGGACTGACCATTTGGAAACTCGCGAGTCACAGCTCTATGTGTCTTATGGAAGCATAGAGTGGGGCTCGGGAGCAAGCACACACCAGTTCCCCCCATAGTAAGCAGCTTTCTATTGGGGCACTAGTCAAGGGGGAGGAGCCAGGAGCACCGGCAGGGGACATAAGAAGAAGAGGATCGGGGCTGTTCTGTGAAAAGCCACTGCACAGAGCAGGCAAGTATGATATGTTTGTTATTTGAAAAAACCCTGAACCTTTCACTTTAAAGTGGAGTTCCACCTATAAAAAAAAAAAAAATAAAAGTCAGCGGCTACAAAAACTGTAGCTGCTGACTTTTAAAATACAGCCATTTACCTGTCCTTCGGTCCAGCGGTGTCCTCACCATGGCTGGTTTCACCGGCCGTCTTCTCTCCCGGTGCTGGCATCTTCAGTGTGGGCACTCGGCTGTGACAGCTTTTGGCTTCACAGCCGGGTGCCCACTGCGTATGCGCAAGAAGCGCTGCACTTTGTGAATGGCCCCATAGTCTTCTGGGACTTGTCACGTGTCCCAGAAGACTACGGGGAGGGAGGGGGGAGGACAACTTCTACTTCCGATTGCAGCGGAAGTTGGGGTGGGTACCTCTCAAATTTGGGTACCCGCTCCCCCACAGTCCCCAAAGGCGCCAATGGGGAGTGGGGGACAAAGGCTTAAAGCTGAAGTTCCCCTTTTGGGTGGAGCTCCGCTTTAAGTGCTCTGCTATTACAAAATAGAAGTTGATCCATTAGCTGGCCATATATAGTGATTTTTACATTAAGGGCCAGGTCACACCATAGAAATGCAGTCCGGATGCATTTCTGCATGTATGTTTTTGATGCATTCTGGTGCATTCCCCCCCCCCCCCCTTTTTTCTGCACCTTAAATAAGGACCTGTGTGTTCAGGTGTGTTTTTGGTGCTTTTAGGTGCGTTCCGGTGTGTTTTTTTTCACGCATTCCAGTACAGTTCAGTGCAAAAAAAAATGCAGTGTGTTCTGCTTTTTTTTGTGGAACTGACCACACTGGTGAACTATGCCACTGGAAACCATATAATCTACTATCCATTTGTTTTTGATACAAAAAAAAAAACATGCTGGACTGCATGTGGTTTGAACTGGCCCTTATTCATAGAAGACTTTTTTTAGGCTCTGTTCACACCTATCATATTTCCAGTAATACATTTCACCTCTCCACAAGTAAGAGCTAATGTCAATCATCTCTAGAGTTGCCATATACATCACTGGGTTACACCTTGATGATTGAGCCGAACTTTTAATTTTGTTTTGGATAGAGTAGGGAAGAGTCAGAGCCTTTTGTCAGGTTTTTATGGCTGTCTGTGTCTCTATTGGGGAGATTTCCCCTCTTTTCCTTTTAAGATGGAAGTCAGGGAAGTGATGGGAAATCTCTCCAAAAGGACACAATTTTAGTACATTGGGGAAAGGTTAGAAATTCTGATAATGTTCATTGCTCTGAGTGCCTTTGACAACCACCCCCTGAATTCAACAGTGTGTTAAAGAGAATATGAGGAAAAAATCCCCCCAATGGGGTCACAGAAAGAAATTAAAGTGGTTGTAAACCCCCACATACACCCAGTGAAGTGAGTTGCCTCAGGTGATACACAGAGATGAAACAAATCCTCCTACATACAGTAAGTTGTACCTGTTTAGCTGTACCTGTCTTCTTTCACTACATCCATTGAAAGTGCTGAATATATAAAGCTTGCAGAGCTGTCAAAAAATTGGGGAGCAGAGAGCTGAAGTTACACTCTGCAGAGCTCAGTGAGGAGATCTTTAAAAGCTGATTGGAGAGAAGAGACACCCCCCCCCCCCCCACACAGCACACAGGAACAGAGTCAAGGCTGTCAATCTGCTGGAGGTCCCTCCCCTGTCACCTTTTTGCTCTTGGTGTCTTGAAAACTTGTCAGAAGTGACTCATGCTGACAGCAGAGGAATGAAGCAGCAGACAGAAATGTCACTTATCATTCTCAATTGAGACAAGTACACACTGTAGAGGGATATGCTTTGTTCATATTTCATGTCTGAGGTTTACAACCACTTTAAAGTGGAAGGCCAAGGTATACCTATCTATTCTTAAATCTGCCCCCCCCCCCCCCCCCCACTTAATTCCTATTCTAACTACCCTGTTGAAGGGAGATGCTTATTCACCTATTCTCTAAGCGCCCCAGTCCAGTCACGTGATCGGCTCTCAGCAGCAGCTTTAGGGGAGAGGAGGGACAGCCAACAACAGACGCCCATAGTAAGCCTATGAGTGACATCACCACCCAGGCATTCCAGCCATTGTCAGAGCTCTCCCCTGTCCCCCGAAGCCGGCTGCTGGGGAAATCATGTGACCAGACCAGAGCACCCCGAGAATAGGTAAGCAGAAGCATCTTTCTTCTAACGGTAGTCAGAATAAAAGCAAGAAGGGGGGGGGGGGAATGACAGTTTTGAGAGTAGATAGTTATAGCTTTAAATTCCACTTTAAACTCTGAATGGACTCCCCCCCCCCACCATCCCTACTACCACATTGCGATCACTGGTGCACTTCAGACCTTGGAATGTTGCTTTTCTGTGGCTCCATGAATGAAATGTATGGTGGACAGCATTGTTCACTCAAGAGAGTATTACTAGGGTCTGCCATAGGGGGCTGCAGTTGGGATTTGTAGATAAACACACGCACACACGCACACACACACGCACACACCCCACACACACGCACATGCACACACACGCACACATGCACACACACACACACACACACACACACACACGCACACACGCACACACTAGGGTCAATTAGAACAATAAGGATCCATGCACACTGGCTTAAAAAAAAATGCTGCTCCCAGAGGTGTTTAGCGTTTTTTGTATTCCTCTGGAAGTAGCTAATGTTACCTATCTATATGTTATAATGTGTCCATGTACCTTAGGTAGTCTAGAGGCATTTTTAAAGTGTACTAAACCCACATCAGTCTGTATATGCAGTAAAGCATGCTTGTTATACTCACTGTGGAACGAAGGGGTTAATCCTCTGCATTGCGTAAAAAGGCTGTTTGATCCTGTCTTCTCTGCCCCTCCTCTTCTTCCACAGAATTTTTTTTTTTGTCTTGGAAGAGTGCATGTGATCAGCACAGGGCCACTCAGTACTGTCCATACAGAGGTCAGGGGTCCTGCATCCTCCTAGAGCAGAAAGAAAATGCCTCCTACAAGCTTTTTAACCAGTGCTCACAAGACTGCTATATACTGCTGATGAGAGAAGGTATTTAACAGTTTATATTTACTAACATAATTGCATTTCCATGTTGTGTGTGCTGTGGGAGACCAGATATAGTGAATGCAGGGTCCGGGGAGACCGGATATAGTGAATGCAGGGTCTGGGGAGACCAGATATAGTGAATGCAGGGTCTGGGGAGATCAGATATAGTAAATGCAGGGACAGGGTAGACCAGATATAGTGAATGCAGGTCCGGGGAGACCGGATATAGTGAATGCAGAGTCTGGGGAGACCAGATATAGTGAATGCAGGGTCCTGGGAGACCAGATATAGTGAATGCAGGGTCCGGCGAGACAGATATAGAAAATGCAGGGACCGGGTAGACCAGATATAGTGAATGCAGGGACCTGGGAGACCAGTTATAGTGAATGCAGGGTCCGGGGAGACCAGATATAGTGAATGCAGGGTCCGAGAAGCGTGGATATAGTGAATGCAGGGTCCGGGGAGACCAGATATAGTGAATGCAGGGTCCGGGAAGCGTGGATATAGTGAATGCAGGGTCTGGGGAGACCAGATATAGTGAATGCAGGGTCCAGGGAGACCAGATATAGTGAATGCAGGGTCCTGGGAGACCAGATATAGTGAATGCAGGGTCCAGGGAGACCGGATATAGTGAATGCAGGGTCCGGGAAGACCAGATATAGTGAATGCAGGGTCCTGGGAGAACAGATATAGTGAAAGCAGGGTCCGGGGAGACCAGATATAGTGAATGCAGGGTCCTGGGAGCGTGGGTACAGTGAATGCAGGGTCCGGGGTTTAGGAACACTTTAATCTTAGCGTTTAGAGGCAGAAAAAAAAACTCTTCCGTTTGCACTTTGGAGAGCATTTTTCTGGCAGAAAAAACGAAATGCCCCTAAACTCTCCTAAATGCTCCTAAACGCTGACACCTGGACTTTTGTTCCCTAATGTTTTCTCTCTAAATATGAGCATTTTTCTATACAGAGTTCTCTGGCAAGGTGTCTTTTTTTTTTTTGTACAGTATGCATGGATCCTTAACATGTCTTTTGAGTGGAAACCCATGCAAGCACAGGGATGCACACTCCATGCAGATATTGTTATGGCCAGACTGATCCTAATTCAGAGATTTTCTGACCTGGGGCAGAATTCATCAGCCCAACATGGGAAAACATTCTGCAGTTCATACATTAAAAATAAATCATCCAGCGTATGGAACAGTCAAACCTTCACAATGTGGTAGCACACAGTTGATTTACTTACACCCCGGTCACATCAGGTGTGACTTGGGATGCAATTTGCATGCTATGCGACTTGCTAATCATATGCCAAGTCGCACCCCATTTTCCTCTATTAGAGCGGTCATATCGGTGCAGTACTGACTTGGTTGGAGCCTCAACGATTTCTAAAGCAGTACATGCACTAGTCTTGTTGCAATTTGTCAGAGGTCTTGCAAATCGCAACTGAAATCAGCAGGTCACCCAATTTTGAAATCATGCGACTTCACTGTAAGTCGCACAATTTCAAAATCAGCTTTTTATGTGACCGGGGTGTAACACAGATTTCTATGCAAATTGCACCAAAAGTAGTGCTTGCACCAGGGGTGGACTGACAACTCATGGGGCCTCCGGGTAATAGGGGATCATGGGGCCCCTTTGTCCTTGCCCAAACTCAAACAAGCCTACGAAAAAGGTGCCAGGGGCATAACATGGGGCCCCCTACTGACCAGGCCCTCGGGAAGTGCCCGACTTTCCAAATGGTCAGTCTGCCCCTGGCTTGCACTATTTTAGAAATCAGCGTGGCTATGACCAAGTCGGAATCGGAGTCTATAGGGATCATACTTCTCTCTACAAGCTCTATGGGGTTGATTTACTAAAACGGGAGAGTGCAAAATCTGGTGCAGCTCTGCATGGTAGCCAATCAGCTTCCTTCTTCAGTTTGTTCACTTAAGCTTTGACAAAAAGTCCTGGAAGCTGATTGGTTTCTATGCAGAGGTGATCCGCATTTTGTTCTCTCCAGTTTTAATAAATCAACCCTATAGGGCTTGTAGAGGGAAGTATG